CTCTCCCTCTCCCTCTCCCTCTCCCTCTCCCTCCCTCTCCCTCTCCCTAGCCAGTTTCTGATTACTTTACCGAGCGCGGATTCCAAGACGATTTTGACGCTTATCGCGCACGTTTCACGTACACTGCCACGACGATACTCTCGACATTTTCTGTAGAGATGTGAAGAAATACGGAGGAATCTATCCGCGGGAGACGCGAAAAGGAACGACGAAATCTCGATCGACTTTCGAATTGGCACGTACGCGACACGATGCATCACGATACACATAAGTACGACGATTTCACCTAACGAAAATGCGTCGATCGGGCGTCAATTTCCCCGAAGGGATCGTAAAAGCCGGTTTCCCGCGACTACGTCCTCGGACCCAGTAAGAAATGATTCGTCGATCGACGTCGAAATGATGTCGAATCGACGTCAATTCGACGGTGTCGATGTCGATTCGACGTGCGTCGTTTCGACGTCGATCGACGAATCATTTCTCATTGGAGAGCCTGTACTTACTCACCGGCGCCGAGGCGGGCCGTCCGCCTCGACCGCGACGCAGCATCGCCCGCGAATCCGCGTCGATCGGCAGCATCCGCGGCAACCGACACGCCCCGACGATCGCTCGTCACTCCGGCCGACGCTCTCGGCAAGAATTTTCCCTCGTCGCGCACTTCTACCGGGAAATTTCGCGATTAACCGGCGCAGCGGTCGCGCTACGTCTTCGGAATCGTACGAGCTCCACCGGTGTCATGGCGGCCGCGCAAACGCGCGCCGCCGCCACAGAAGCGTCCGATTCGAATTGACACGCTTCCAAGCGCGGTCAGTCAAACAATTTCCACGCCTTTCGCGCAAGTTTCACACTGCTACGACGACACTCTCGATGTTTTCTATGGAGACTTGAGGAAATACGGGGGAATCTATCAGCGGGAGACGCGAGAAGGAACAAGGTAATTTCGATCGACTTTCGAATTGGCGCGTACGCTAGTACCGTAGCGCGCTGTGACGTCACGTGACGTCAGAGGAAGAATGTGGTATGTCGTTAATACGCTCGTTTCCGGAACTCGTTTCTCAGATTCATTCGCAGGAGAATATTGGCCACTTCGATGGAGTGTCTGAGCGAGGTGAGGTATGAAATAAGTTGATTTCTTATTTGTCAAAATTCGGGTGGGCTGTATTCTTATCTTCATTACATATTCTCGCGAGATTAACAAGTCTCCTATTCAATCCCAATCGCGCGCGTATAACCCCAAATCGAGCCTCTCATAAATCTTTATCCGTAATACTGTTTTTCCATCTGCCTTGTGCGCCGGTTTCTCTCTCGGACGTAACGCAGTTTCGTTAGGTGGAGTATTGTCGGCAAATTCACGTGTGACCGATCAAGTGCGATCGCAATTAAGTCCTGTCAGTGGACTCGCTATAATTAACATTACAGTCGATATAAATTCGTAATTTCGCCACTGATACTATACGAATATGAAAACCGCGATAATGATGCAATATTTTTATTGTTCGCAATGCCGAGAAAATAAGTTATATGGTTTACAGACGTGATATGTAAAAATATATTGATTCGTTAATTTTTTAAGTTATACAACGCGATACAGACAGCAGAGTTACGAGTCCTAGCATCATTGAGGAGGCGCAAACGATGGCCAGCGTGTCTCGGTTGTAAGTAGGGCAGAGTTCCTTGTCGTTACACCTCCTGAAAGAGATTGACGAAAGCAGGTTGTTAAAAGGGCCGAGGTAAAATTAATTTCCGCGTCAACGGAAAGACAATGCGACGGTTCGACGGGCGCCCACCATTTTTCGATGACTATCACCACGAGGCCGGTGATGATCTTGTCGAGGAACGTGACGATCGAGTATACGAAAGCGCTGCGCTCCGTTCGAGAGCCGATCAATTCGGCGGTGACGCTCAACGCGGTGACCATCGTGATGGAGCTTCCCGCGCCAATTAGCACGGCGACGACGTACACGATCGTCGTGCTACTCGCGACGAATTCCGTGACAACGGCGGCGACTATGCCGATTATGGCGCCGAGGAAGTAGCAAGCCTGCGAGGCAAAACGAAGCAAAAGATACACCTCCACTCTCCAAAAGTCAATCAGTGGATTATCGCTGAAAACAGTGAACAGTCACTGATTTACAGTTACAAGGTACACCATTGAAAATCGCAGTGGTGTACTCTGTATACAACTGTAAACCATTGGCTACATTCAGCAGAAAAAGCTGCTTTGCCACTGTTGTAAAATTCGTGAATCTGATTGGCGTGTTCTCTTAATCTTGAGTGAATTTAAGAGCATACGCCAATCGACGTCGACGTCGATCGATGAATCATTTCTCACTGGATTCACGAATTTTACAACAGTTGCAAAGTAGCTCTTTCTGCTGAACGCGGCCAATGACTTATTCACTGTTTTCAGTGAAAATCCATCGATTAACTTTTAGAGAGCAGGAAACAACGCGCTCCTTCCTTTCTTTATCGAAATATTACCTTGGTGCCGCAAATTCTGTTGATGTACTTGAGTAGCAAGGCGGCCGTAAACGAGGATACGTACGAGACCAGCGGCACACTGGCCAGCGCTTGTTTACCGTCGATTTTGGTCTCTTCTATGTACAGCGGCAAGTACACCGTGGCGAGAGTGATAAATAATCTGCTCGCCACGTACAGCATCGCGACTCTCAACAAAATCGTCATGCCGACCCATGACATCCGGCGATTCGACGGAACGTCCGACAGCTTCGCCGGCTCTTCGACGCTCGACGGCTTTGGGGGTCTCGTTTGTTCCAGGAGATTCGCCTTGAGGAAAATGTGAAAGAGAACGGTCACGGTCAGACCGAGAGTCGTCAGGATCAGAGCGATGTTCTGCAAACCAAAGAGAATCACATGCACCATTTTCTTCTTCTCGGTCACCTTATCTCCTCGTTACGTACTCTGAATTTGTAGTCATCCTGCTGGTCCAATTGAACCATCGATCCGCCATCGGTTGGTAAAATTATCCACGCCACCACAAAAGCTATCACGGCCGCACCGACTTGAGCGGAGTATCTACGGATTAGAGATTCGTCTTGAAACGGAACGTTTACATCTCGCTGCACTCGGCTGCTAGAGACATTACGCAAGTCGCGTACCTTATTGCGGTCAGATCGGCTCGGGCTAGGACGGAATTAGTTAACGAGGGAATCATTGACAGATGGGAGATTTGCACGGCCGCCCAGCCCGTTTGAAATATCGTAATACTTGTTACGTATAAAAGCATGGCGATCCCGGCGGACAAGTTGACAAAACCGCCGAATATTACGGGGAAGGACAGGGTGACCAAGACGGAGCCGGCGACGTGCCAAAGTTTCTTGTTGCAGTAGCGATCAACCAGGAAACCGAATATGGGCGTCATAACGGCATCGATGATTTGCCCTTGAATGAAAATCGTTGCAACGTTAATCGATAGCATGACTAACGTCCATGCGTGAAGAATTGGACGCATACCTAACAGCAAGAGGGCACCGGCTACGATGGGTTTTAACAATGCGACTCGTTGAAGGTAGATTAAAGTATAGGAGAACCACACGGCAGCCGCTAGATCGTTGAAAATGTGTCCAAGGGCGTAGGCGAGCTTCGTCGACGTCGCTATTCTCCCCGTGTCCACGAGAGGTCTTTGTTCGTTGTCCATTTTTGCTCGTATTTTCTGTGATGCGAGCAGGAAAACTTTCACTATTCTGGTGAATCCATTACTGCTCCGCGTAAATCACTCTCTTATGACAATGTCCGCGGAAAGTGCAACTGCAACAAGTAACCAACGAATAACGTAATAATTAATTTCTCCGCTAGATACAGAAAACTCTCGAGTCTATTAGATATTTCAAAAAGGTTCAAAGTTGACGAGTTTCATGATTTATAATGTACGCTAGGAATCACTGATGCCTTCCCACATGACTTCAGGCACATATTAACACATCAATACATTTTGCATATACATACATGGAAAATGTTCATACGGGAAGGCATCAGTGATTCGTAGTGTACACAGACAGGCTAGTAATGCCTGGCTCTTTCTACAATGTATTCTATAATTATAGAAATGTGCAGGCATTCTTGCCTGTCTGTTTAGAGTAACAAAGACGAGTGTTTGCGACGAGTGCTTCGTTCTCCGAGCAGGCAGGCCTGCGGTCAGCGTTCCTTTCACTCGATTGAATTTTGCTTCGAGCTATTTTCCTTAGTTTCTTGCTAGGACAGTTACGCGATGATTATACAGTACCCTCCATAAGTTTGGAAACACCCTATATTTTACAGATAAATAGTGGCACAGCAGCGATCTGCGCACATGTTTGATATAAATACTTTGATTTTTTTTATAGGATTTATTTGATTGATAGAAATTGATAGGAAATAGTTTGATATAAATAAAAATAAATAGATGTATATCATAAGTTATTTAAATAACGATGTAACGATAAAATTACGATACGTTTAAATAACGAATTAGACGGGAGGATTCGCAAAGAGCGTGAATTACAAGTGAAGGGCATCTCTGGGAGATTTTCCAGCAAGAATGGAAACGTATTCCGACTAAGTCTCTGCAAAAGTTAATTCATCGCATGCCGCGAGTATGCGAGGCAGTCGTATTAAAGCAAAAGGTGGTTACTTTGAGGAATCTAAAATTTAATTGGAATCTTTATTAAAAGTTCGTCGTATGTACCTTCGTTTTAATTTTCTTTAGTTAAATAAACACTTACAAAGCAAAATACATCGCTTTCATCGTGTATTTGTTTTGTATTACACACTTTTATTAAGTGTTTCCAAACTTATAGAGGGTACTGTAAGTTATAAATAAATCTAAAAGTACGTATGTACGTCATCGACGTTTCATCACGCGAGGGATTAGACGCGGATGATCGATAATAACACGACACCTTATTACGATGATCCGATTATTTGGATTTAGTAGTCGAAATTATGCTTCGTCAAAGTCAACGTGGCTAAAAAAAGATATTGAAGAAACCGCGAGGTATTTAAGTAAAATAAACTCACGCATGTACCCAGCGAGAAACGACTCGTCGATCAATGTCGAAACGATGTCAAATCGACGCCAATTTGACAGTGTCGAGTCGACATCGTTTCAACGAATCATTTCTCACTGGACAAATAAGAACTTGCGGTTTACAGCACAAAGGTTGAATGACGATTGAATTCTTTACCAATATAACACAATCCTCTGTCTTCTCTCTTGAATTTAATAAAATTGAACAATGTACAAACTAGCACGAATACTCGAGCGAAAAGTCTACGTTAAACACGTGCTCCACTTCACGACCGAAGAACAATTTCACGGACGTTGACGAAGAAACGGATAAAAATTTGCGTGGTGTATCTATCCTAATAAAATTGATCTCGCAAACGTACCGTAAAAATGATTAAAATAAACGCTATCGTCACATGTCGCGATAAATACCGCGATATCGGATACCGGCTGTCTGTTCGCGTCACACGCAGGTGAGAGACTGAGCTCTGGAACGTACACTATACACGTCGTTCTTTACAAAAGATAACGTCAAACCATTAAACGGATTATGGCAACACGCAGTAGCCTGTGATAACTGTAATCTTATCATTATGTCGATACCTACCTGCGAGTTTGGACAAGTCAAAATCCTCACTAATTATTTTACTTAACACTTTTTTTTTCATTTTTCATACGAAAGCTCAAACAATGTCCGTCACGTTCCCGAATACGAATTTAACGATATTTAGTATGCGAATTTTTTAGCATTCGCGAGAATATTTCAATGAAACCGCAAAATTAAGTTCCTTGGCAGTATTGTACATTTTCGGAGAAGCATATGATAAAAAATATAAATCAAGAGAAAAGGTAAAATCATTGTTTCGTGTAACGAAAATTTTTAAACTGTAATAATTCAATTTATGTAACAAAAGTTTGTAAGCTGTAATCGCGGCCATTTAAATTTTTATTACAAACGAACGCGGAGAAAGAAAAATCGAAAAGCAACTGACATGGACGATGATGTCATATACGTAGACTGGGCAAAACAGGCCCTGTAATCTGAGATTGCAAAAGAGAAACGCGAGAGGTACACACGAAGGAATCGATACCAAGCAAGTTCTTATACGGTCTCCCGGTCAGACGACCTAGCAAACTATGGTCACTTCTAACTTTGTCCACCATATAATAAACAGAAATAGCAGTCCAAAGTATAAAAATAAGATGTGTGAAAATATTGAGTTTCGGTACAAAATGGCCAGTGATATATGAAATGTGATTTTCGAGAATATTTTATTATTAACTTTATAGAGATGTACTATAATTAAATGTATTTTGTACAAAATCCGCGTGCGAAAGGAATTTAAAAAGTATTTCTTACTTTTATCAGTAGCGACTTAATGCTATAAGAAGTAATTTGTAAGAATTCTGTTACAACTGAAGGAAGACTAAGCTGTTAGAAAATATAAATGCTTTTTATATTTAAAGAATGAAACAGGTAACATATTAGGTAACAATACATACGTCATGTCACATAATTATATCCTAAGGTACTTTTGCATTATATAACAAATATACCACCACTAAAAATTATATTATATTAAAAAATTATATGTTTGGCTTAATGCAAAAGGCATAGAGGTTGTCTACAGTCTTAACATCCACATGTGAGCAAAGGAGAACCTCCGTACAATCAATACTTATATACAGTTTCTGGATTTTATTACAGTTTCCCTAACGTAAATACATTGCGCTAAATCTTAATCTTTTCTAAAGCCGTGTATTCCGTGCCTTCGAACTGTCTTAAGTGAATCTGAAAAAAAAACCGCTTCGATATTTCACGTCCTCGACAATTGACTTAATCATACGTTATAGAATTTACCTGCAAATGTAAATTGACTTCGGCGGCACGACTTAAATATGGAAAATTCCCGCCGCTTTTCAAGTGTGCTAGTTTTGCACTTGGATAGCATTTGTACATTTCTTCTCTAACGGCATTTGATATCGCATATTCGTCAAAAACGTCTATTATTGTCACAGGTAAATGACATATTTTTTGAGGTTGTACGTAACAATTTATGCAATTCATTGTCAAACGTGACGCTAATTCGGGCTGTGTTAAACTCTCGAGCTACAATTAAGGTATATTATGTATAACATTGCTTTTTTTTTGTGTCTTCCACCTTTCATCAGATTGAAGAAAAGTAATGGCGAATTCGGTTGTCTGCGCCAGTGCACACTGAGTGCACACTAAGGCCTGTTTATAGTCAATTTTTATTATTTAACTTTGTCTTAAATACATGTTCAAAGAGTATTTAGCCAAAAGTGATCCGTATGGATGCTGTACAGATCAATTCACTCACTAAGAAATATTTCAAGTGATATTTAAGACGATCCTTAAATATAAGAATTGACTGAAACCAAGCCTTAGTGTGCACTCGGTGCGCACTGGTGCAAACAACCGAATTCGCCATAAGATTCATACCCGTTCCACCATAAAATCAATCGCCTCTATAATCTCTCCGTCGACTTTCTCCGTTGCAAAGTTTCCCATTACCATTTTCTTCAGCACCAACGAGGGCAAAATCCAGAAGCTGTAACAGAAAGAAAATACAACCAATGTAAAAAGCGGCAGATTTTTATCGCACGCAGACCCATGCACATGTAACAGCTGCACGTTGAAAGTTATATACATAAAAATCTCCTACTTACACCGCTGCGGAATCATTGTAACTGAATACAGAAGTGTCCGTAAAGGTATTGCACAAAATCAGAGACACCACTCTAGGACAGTGCGCATTTATCTCTGTGAATTTCTGCGCCAGGAAGCCACCTGCGAGTGTAACATTTTTTTATTTTGTTTACTAGATTGTACCACAGCAAAAGTAAATATCTGACGCGTTCTGCCTGACCTAGGGAAGCACCAAAGATGTGGACTTTGTCAAGTTCTAGATAATCCAACAGTTTTCTGAATCCGTCGCACCACTCCTTTATGCTCCAATATACCGGTGCTTCAGCCTGCAAAAGTAATCGTGTACAACGGTGCCTACGAATGCCCAGTGGGCTTTGTCCTATTTTATCTTTATAATGACCCAGCAAGGCCGAATGCACAAACTAGTGCCTAGTAATGCTGTAAATTCGTCACACCACAATGCCCTCGGTGGTTTACCCCTCGAGTAAAGGCCTTCCTTACCGCTTACATCAGCGCGATAAAAAACTGATTCTTTTACATACACATTAAAGGCTTATCGAATATACGTCCAACTTACTGCGATAATTCTGTAACCTTTGGCAGCCAGGCTCAATATTTGTCTGAAAAAAATATCAGCCGTACCACAGACAGGTGGAAGACATATAAGCGGGGACTTGATGGTCTTTGGGTTAGAGTCGTACACCTTCCATCCCTGAAACAATTGCAGGGACATTTCGAGACACTTGTTTAACCGAACGCTCGTAAATACTTATCGGAGTGATGAGAGGCCACTTTGCAAACTGACGTAAATCGGCGATAAATGGGGGGAAGGGAGAAACGGGTAGAAACGAAAGGATTGGGAAGCGATAACGACAGGAAACGGTACCTTAGTGCCGTCGGCGTCGACGACGATCTTCCTGAGCGGTACGGAGCTGCGAAAGCTCAGATATTCCTGGGAGCGTGACAGCTCGCTCGAGTACGAAGACATATTTTGTTTTCGCTCGCGACGACGCGACGCCAGTCGGTACGTTGGGCCGCGTTATCGTCGCTCGGTGACAGTCGCATTCTTCCCGACGGCGGAAGAGGGAGTGCATCGATTACGATAACGTAGCGTAGCTTGCGTAAAGGCCTTCACACACAAAATTCCGTAAAGACGTAAAACGTAAGCGTAAGAAAATCAACAGATTGGATTTGCTACTGCTTGCGTTATTACCTTACGTTCTCGACTGTGATTGGTCGATTTTCTTATGCTTACGTTTTACGTCTTTACGGAATTTTATGTTTTTTTATCTTGGAATTTTATGTGTGAAGGCCTTTACGTACTTACGTCGCTCAAGTATGTATATCATCGGAGGCCAACGACCACCGACGGAGTCGAAGTTCTACGCTTTCTGACATAAAAGTCCGCGTTCTGCATTGCAAAGGCTTGTTTCCTGTTGCTACACTGGTGAATTAGTGCAATGAGTTAGAGTAAGGCAAGTATATTTTTTTCTCATTCTTGCATACCGCACTTGTTCACCAGTGCAGCAATAGAAAACTAGGGTTGGGAAGTAATTCGTTACTTGTAACGAAGTTACAGTTACAGTTAATTCTTTTTGGTAACTCTAACTTAACTTCGTTACTTTCTCTACATCTGTAACTGTAACTTAACTCAGTTACATTTTTTCGATAACTAGTAACTAATTTAACAGTTACATTAATAGTTACTTTATATATATATATTCAATCTCCATAGATCGCATTAGGCTTTGCGTTTGCGCATAAACGCCTTTATCGCCGCTTTACAATTCAAATGCAGATTCGATATTTTTATTTTTATTGCAAGGGAGTAACTGCAAAGTAACGTTACTTTTCGAGTAACTGCAACTGTAACGCGGTACTTTTCAGAATTGGTAACTTGTAACTGTAACTACCCACACAGCAAAAGTTGATCCCAAGTATGTCCACCGGATATATCTAAAGGGATTTTCAAACATCCCGGGTATATCCGTGAAAATCGGTAGAACATACTAAGGATATACTGGCTGCGTTCAGAAACACCACCCGGGTACCCCAGCGTATCATTCTATCTTTGTTGCTCACCGTATGTTAAACAAGGATAAAATGATACGCCGGTGCGTTCGGGTGACGTTTCTGAACGCAGCCCTGAGGACGTTCCTATGTCCGCTTATAATAGCCGGAGAGCTGGTGAACATTTTGTTAAGGTTGTTTTATACAAGCTGAAATTTTGTAAAAAAGTTATTTTTTCCCTACCTGAATAAGGAACCAATCACCTGCCTGGCCAGCGTTGGTTAGAAGTACACCCATAATTTTTTCAAAGTGTAAAAAAAATGTTGAAACCAACGTGAAGTATACAAGTTGAAATTTGAATATATAAAAATTTTATACTTTTTTGAGTAAGAAAAAAAAGGGCAGGCGTCCTGGTTGGTCCGAACCTAGTGGCAGGCGATCGTGAAGTTGTATTATTAGTGGTGGTGCTTAACTTTTATTTCATATAAAGGTATTTTATAGCTTCAGAAACATGTTGCAATTTTTACAACGTGTTTCTAATGCTATAAGAGTAATGTATGTTAAAAGCTAGGCTGATTTAACAAATAAAACAGTATGAAAAGTAGTAAGTAGTGTTTTCCGTGTGACGGAGAGAAGATTATGCGGACGCGCGCGCGAGAGAAAGAGAGAGTGTATATGAAAGATACATAGCAGATGACGAAAGCATTAGCGCTAGTAGCGATGACGAAAATATTTAAAGAAATATTTATTTAATTATTTAATTTATTATGTATTTATTTATTAAACTATTAAGAATACTCTTAAAAGTCGCCAGCAGTAATTAACAACATCAATGATTTTTATTGACCGTATCTGGCAATTAAAATTCTTATTGCGAAAAATATTACCCCAACCAGAATTCGAACCTGGGATCTCCCTCAATCCGTGACGGGCGTCTTACCAGCTCGACCACTGGGGCTGTGATAATACTATTCGCAATAACATATATTAGTTAAGATGTTGTTTACGCGTCTATTTCGACTTTTCAGAATTCAGAAATTCAGAAAATCAGAAAGGGAAATTTAAAAAATCGCGTATCGACAGTTCAGTGTATGGTCGACAACCCGTATCGACGCACTGTTCTGAAAAGTCGAAATAGACGCGTAAACAACATCTTAACTAATATATGTTATTGCGAATAGTCGCCGTGCCTGAGCGTGCGAAATCTCAGACCTATCATTTGTGAAATATAATCGCTTATTATTTAAAAACTATCATAGCCTCGACATTTTTTTATTAGAATTTTCCTCTTGAAATTTTCTAAGGAATCTGCGATTAAAAGGATATCCGGTGGTTTTAGTACACCCTGTATACAGGGTGAGTCTTTCCATATCCGACAAAATTTTTGAGAAGGTAGAACGGATCGAGATGAATGGAAAAGTCCTGTATCATTTTGCAATTTTCGTAATAGTTAACGAGTAATTAATTATTAAAAATCGTCTTAGGCCGGCCTACCGCCCAATTCGAGCGCGTAGCGAAATGCGCATAGCAATATCAATCACCGGGCGGTCACATCTTGCCACGCGCTCGAATTGGGCAGTAGGCCGACCTAAGACAACGATTTTTAATAATTAATTACTCGTTAACTATTACGAAAATTGCAAAATGGTACAGGACTTTTTCGTTCATCTCGATCCGTTCTACCTTCTCAAAAATTTTGTCGGATATGGAAAGACTCACTCTGTATAAGAATAAATCAAATTGAAATTTAAACGCCAATTGTTAGGACCTAGGCAAGGTGGTGGCCATTATATTGCTAAGTGAATCCATATACCGTATATGGTCACTATCTTGCCTAGGTCCTAACAATTGACGTTTAAATTTCAATTTTATTTATATCTGAAAAAGGACCGAAAAATATTCATCGTTGTTTATAAGAATAAATATATAAGAATGATTTATGAAATATTGTAAATTTTCTTAAAGAATACTCTTAAAATGTTCGCAGGAGTGTCTTGCGTTATCTGGGCGTATCGAACGACGAGTGCCGCCGATAGATGGCTCGACGATTTCCTGTTCAGGTAGAAACCCTCTACTCACCAAGTACTCTAATGATAGCTAAGACAGGTAAACAGATCGTTAACTTGTCATACGTCTGGCTTTTTGCGTTTTATCTTGAGACATTAGATCTAAGAACGTTAAATTGAATTTAATTTAAGGTAACCAATGGAACGTAATTATAAATCTTAGTTTTTAAAAAAAAGCAGTAAGATTATTTTATTTTACTTTATTTTATTTTATTTTATGCTATTTTATTTTATTTTATCTTATCCTATCTTATGTTGCGTAATTTAATGATTAACGTAAAAAAGTATCACATGCCCCCTGCGGCCACTCTATTTTGCCTCTCTGTCTGTTAATGGTCTATCCTCTATGTCTATGGGAAAACCACTGGCCAAAATCTTGTACACTAAAGCCTAATCTACAATGTGCTCTCTGCGTCTAGAAACATTCTTCTTTGTGACCAATAAATACGTCTAACAACTTTGTGCAAGTTGATAAATTGTATATTATACACTGTATAATCGTACACTGTCGACGATTTTTTTAAGCGTTTCGATTTGTTTATATAAAATAGAATGTTTCTCGACGCAGAAAGCACGTTGTAGATTAGACTCAATGCCCAGTGGGCGCTACTTTATCTCATTATGTTATTTTATCTTTATAATGCCTCAGCGAGTTCTAATGCCCAAAGTAATGCCCAAAAATGCCTAATCATGCCCAGTAATGCCGTAAATATGTAAATCACAATGCCCTCAGCGATTTCCTCCTCAGTCCCCTTACGGAAAAAATACTCAAGTTTTGAGTGTTAACACTCGATTGTCCGAATTTACTCTCAAAGGATGTAAATATTTAAATCTAGGTGTTTACGCCCAAATTTAAGAGTAAATTCAGACAATCGAGTAAGTTAACACTCAAAACTTGAGTGTTTTTTCCGTAAGGGTCATTACATAACTCTACACATTTTCCAGCCTCGATTTTTCGGGTTTGATAATATTTCTGCAACAAGCATGGGCGAAAAAACTCGTGAAATGACTCGTCGGGCTGCTGTGAGATACGACGGTGGTTACGAATCGTAACGTAATCCGTGTACACGAATTTAAGGTACCTTCATTCACGTGTACCTGAGTACGTGACACGTGTATACGTATAGGCGTGTATGTGACACGTGTATTCGAATATTCGTTAATGTGACACGTATACCCGAAAATCCGTGTATATGTGATACGTGTAAATGTGTGCAAATATTTGTCAAAATTTGATGAAAGATCTCTATTTTTGCATACGTTGTTCGACACATGTATACGCATAATTCCAGCATTCCAAGTTTTATCCAGATTTTTTGTCACACAATTCTCTAAATATTTCCCTATTGAGGTATACACGGCTACACGTTTACATGTGTCACATACACGGATATTCGTGTACGCGTGTCACGTTCACGGGTATTCGTGAACACGTGTTACATTCACGTGCTCACGCACGGAAAAAACTGATTTAGTTGATTCAGCAAATCTATAGTTTGATGAACAAAATTAAACGTTTTAAAGAAGTAAATTTGCTAATGCAGCAAAGAAGTCGTGTGTAAGAGCAATCGTTACTTTGTTCATAAAACAAATCGATTTTTGCTGAAATTATCTTAGTTACTGCAACAAATCATTTTCGCTAAGTGCGAGACGTAGCTAGCGCCAGCCTCTGAGTAGTTCGCCGACCGCCGCTAGGCCGCGCATGATGTCGGCCAAAAACTCGGAATCAAAATTCAGTCTCGTAGGGTATAAAGGGAGGCGTGGAAGCCAGGGCAAGTATCGCATATTGCGATTGCCACGATAATAATTGCAGAGTAAATGTTTTAATGAGCATTACTTTACCTAATTTTAATTGTTGGCGTAACTAATAATTTTGCTATAATAGGATTTATTAATGCACCTAATTTTCTTTTATGTAACAGCAAAAAAATTAGTTACATGTACCAAGCTATTTTTTCCATTGGTTGTAGTAAAGAATCATCTTTGCTCTACTAACAAATCTACCGTGCTGTAACATCAAATTTTATTAGATATAATTACTAATCCTATGCAGCTTTGCGATTTGATTACTGCAACATAGCAAACTGGCTGTCCGTATATTACGGCGGTAAATTTGCTAGACTAGCAGGGTTTTTGATTGTCATAGCAAATCTTTTTTTTCCGTGCGTGCTCACGGATTCACGTAAATGAAGATTCTTTAAATTCGTGTACACGGGTTAAAACACGGATAAGTTAAATACACGGATTACACGTGTACTAAGGAGCTCTAGTTACGATCTTCTCCCTGACAACCGTCTCATATTCGTAATCACCCGTACTTGTCGCAGAAATTGGGGTATTGTAACGCGTGCATGCTCTCGTGTTGTAGCGACATACAGATCAGTATGACGGGTCTAGTCACATAGGCACGCATGGTCGGTTCATACGAGTAAGTGCGTTATGATTCAGCGTATTATTATACAAGGTGTTATGTAACACCCGCCTCATCTCTTATTTACGGATAGAGCGGACTAGACTGATTGTGAGTCGAAAAGTCCTCTATCATTTTACAACTTTCGCAATAGTTACCGAGTTGTTATTTACGAATTGTTTATTATACGTATTCCCGCGCGCCGAGAAACGCCAATCGCGGGACGGCCGCATCTCACCGCGAGCTTGGTTAATACGCCAAATTCATAACGCAGTTATGGTTGACCATGCGTGCCTACCACTCTTGTATAACTAGAAAATGGGAAACGTAAACGGGAACGTTCTTCTTTCTAAAACACTAAAAACGAAAACATTGTATGTCCTTTACCTGTTAAAATTGGCCATGTGTCAAAGACGCGACGAACATTATGTTTCCACGTAGCAACGAAGTACCTTTATTCTCCGCCTCATTCAGTATTAATGGCTTAACTAGTTGGCAGAACACATGTCGGTCCATTTATATTACGTTCATGGGGGACTACGCGATTCGCAGTATAATATGACGCTGCCACGTCCTTCGTCTTGATCTGCAAAAGCTGGATAATAAAATGCCAATATGTCAGATTTGGTTTTCTTACTTTCTATAGGAGCATGAAGGTGAAGGGCATAATGGATTTTTGATGGACAATGGGCGGGACAAAGATTAAACTAGCCTCGACAGTTACCGGCATGATACCAACACACAAGCCGTCTCAGGTTGCATATAAATGCAATTTGAAGAAAATAAAGAATAACTACGGTCTAAGGTTAGTGCCCAACTCAAAAATAGCTATAATAGATTCTGTTTAGCCATGAAAAATACATTCTATTCAAACTATTCTTATAAATCAATTTAAATTAACGAATGTGATGGTAGATAACGCTTAGGCAATGCGAGCCGTTACCGTTGGAGTTGGTGTGAAAAACTTTCTTTATATACTATATATATCGTATTGGTGTTACTAGATTTTTAATCATATAACCACCTAATAAATTTAAATCTTACAAAATTGTACGTGACTCTCTTCAGCAATCGAATAAAATTAAATTATAACATACTTCGTTCGAAGTTTAAAGCTAGCGCAACATAGTCGTATTATAAAAAATGTGTATCAGATGTGTCGGTGTTATTTGTCATGGTAGACCAGCGTGGTGTGTGTTCGCATATATTCGATCGTTCCTCTGACTAATGTTACAACGTTCGGATACTAAAAGAAGTACCTTGGATCGTTGAGGCACAATAGTTTCAGAGAACTCGATGGTGAACCATATATAATTCTACTTAAGGCCGATATTTGGTTCATCATGCATGAACCTATTTTGGCGTATCTAAATAAAACCATTTTTTGGCCCAAGATTGGAGATCCAACGCTGACAGGTCGATTTTTAATCATTGTTCGGACCATCATTGACTAACTGATATTAGCAAATCGGATATAAGCCAAGTTTGGCCTGCGATTGATAAACCAATCCTCGTAATTCTTGTAACTTTTGAGTTAATTTAAATTAAGTATATATCGAAAATCGTCATTAGGCCTATTTTCGCTATCATTTTTAGATACCTGTAGAGTGTAGAACATTTTCAGATGTAAGGGTCAACTTGGCTGAACATCGGGCCAATTTCGAATATCGGTAGCCGATCAACAATAAAGATAATGGACCAATAAATGGCCGAACCTTGGAGCATAACCATCGCGCGAGATTGTCAACCGATGATCCTCTGCGAGGCCCAATGTTGGACTTAGATTCAGATATAATTCGGCCTATTAAAGAACCAAATTTTGGGCTTACACTCGGGCATAGATATAGTATAGTATATCTAGACTGCTGGTTCTCTCAAATTTCAGGAGTGGGGGTAGAGCTCTCGTAGAAAAGGATGCACTCTGTTTCGTGTCTGTGCGTTCTCTCTCGCACTATACTATACGTACACGCACCGGCATAAATGCTGTCCCTATCCTTGTGAGGTGCACGCACACAACTAGAGTCCCTGTAGTTGTGTGCGTGCACCTCACAAGGATAGGGACAGCATTTATGCCGGTGCGTGTACGTATAGTATAGTGCGAGAGAGAACGCACAGACACGAAACAGAGTGCATCCTTTTCTACGTGAGCTCTACCCCCACTCCGCCAACCAGCAGTCTAGATAGACTATGTCTATGCACTCGGGCTTATATCGGTTGCCAATCTCGCGAGATGGTGACGCTCCAATGTTTGGCCACTTATTGGCCCATCATCTTTGTTGATGATTGGCTACACTGATTGTGAGAGCTGAAAAACAGTGATGGTTATAACATTTTTCCTCGTTTTTAACTTTTAGTCTTTCTTACAGTAACCATTACGTACCACTACAGTAAGCATTTTCCCAGTAATATCAGTACGGATTTTACAATAATTGTAATATCCGTAATAAATATAATTAATAAAATAAATATAAATAAAATAATAAAATACACAGCCCCGGTGGTCGAGCTGGCTAAGACGCCCGTCACGGATTGTAGGGAGGTCCCAGGTTCGAATCCTGGCTGGAGTAATATTTTTCGCAATAATAATTTTAATAGCTTGATACGGTCAACAAAAATCGCTATAGCCAGTGTAGATCGATAAAACTTATGAAATTTTGGTCTTACAATAATTATTACGGATTCTACAGTAATGAATATTGTAGATCAACTGATTGACTGTTACTTACTAATCCAGTATTGAATCAGTACTGTATTTCCACAATCATTACGATAAAAACCAGTAATGATTTTGGTACAAGATTTTATTGAAAATAAAAAACTTTTCAACTAGTTCTTTTTTCTAATTTTTTTATATGTGGGATTCGAATCTAAGATTTCGGATTCTAGCCTGGTACGCTAACGCTGAGCTAACTATTTATATATGTTTTCTACCCTACTGTTAGGCTACATATTATTTACATATTATTTTAATGCTGGTGGTCAACAGTAATGGTTACGGAATTGCACATCACTCAATAATAAAATTGTTCAGTAATCATGTTTTCTTTAATACAATATCGCTTACAACTTTAGTCGTTAGATGGTATTGTATTTTTCAGCAGACATTACTTTTTTTTAAGTAAGCATTTGCGTATTAAGATTAAAAGTTGAGAATGAGCAAAAATTCAGGGACTATTACTGTTTTTCGATTCTCAGGGTACTGGTATTCGAGATTGGCCCGATGTTCAGCCAAGTTGACCATGGACATATGGTCAACTTGGCTGAACATCGGACCAATCTCGAATACCAGTACACTGAGAATCGAAAAACAGTAATAGTCTCTGAATTTTTGCTCATTCTCAACTTTATCATAACACATCTGTACAATTGTCACAAGCGCAATCCCATGTAAGGGTGGTCAACTTGGCTGAACATCGGGCCAATCTCGAATACCGGTAGCCAATATATATATATATATATATGTATATATATATATACAGGGTGTCCTAAAACCACCGGAGGTCCTCTTAATGACAGATTCCTTAGAACATTTCCAGACGAAAATCCTAATACAAAAGTGTCGAGGCTATAATAGTTTTTAAATTAGAAGCGATTATTTTCCGCAAATGATAGGGCTGAAATTTCGCGCGCTCAGGAACGGCGAAATGACAAGTGAT